GCAATCCATGTGCCACAAATATGTACAACTAACAGTGTGGGTGAACCTTTCCTTTAAAAACGCAGTAAACAGTGCCACAGTTAATCCTGGCCAGGTTGCTATGACAACATGTCCTACAGGCAATGTGATGGTTAGTGACCCATTTCTCTAATGTATGTTTACCGAGCAGGGGGCACGGCCCACTTGTTAAAGCATATACAGTGATATACAAATTAGACAAATGCTCTAGGTCATGTAGTGTGACCAGGTGAATAGTCCTGAGTGATGTCATACAATAAATATTTCTGTGGTGAAAAGGACCAGTGGTTTTAATTCAACCAAACATTATATAGATTTCCACACAAATCAGATTTCTTCAGTCTCCCGTCTAACTTTATTAGTGATACATGATTGATAATCTCTGTGATCCATGGTGTACCTCATGGTTGGTCTTGCTGTTCAGTTTCGCCTCACTAGCTGAAGAAAGTGCTGGTACTACACGGCCGTCTTGCGTTGTGCTGTCATTCTGCGAGACAGTCTGGCCCTTCCTCTTCTGCGCCTTTTTCGCCGCCCCCGCACCGTCGCTTTTCGCCCGCTTCTGTCGGAAGCTAGCAAGCTGCGCAGGAAGGACAGCGAGAGGTAGATGGACACATAAGTAAGGACCACTGAGCACCACCACACTATCAGCATGATGAAGCTCAGGGGTCAAGGGTGACGGAAAACTAGAGTCCAGACTGATCCTTAGTTGAAAAAAAAGTAATCAAAACGACATTCTGAAATCATTACGCAAAGTATAAATGCATGTGTACAAAGTGTTGATAGTTCCAGATGCAGAAAAGAAATTAAGATTGGCAGCCCTTATTTTGATGAGTCTGAGTTGTACAGCCAAAAAAAAAAAAAAAAAACGAGACCGGAATCCCAAACTCACACCCAAAATAGATCACACCATAGCCTGACAAGGTATCCAAGTTCAAAATGAGGTGATGCTAAATATTCTCAAATCTCCAGAGAGCTGTATCCAACCCATGAGAAGTGCACATTTGAGTGACACACATTAGACAACCTTAGACACAGCACAAGGTTACAAAAAATAAAAAAAAAATTAAAAAAAAGTACTCATCCTTCTCAGTCACTTTTCAGCATGCAAGAAAGTCAAAGACAGAGGCAGCCAAACTGGTTGACAGGAGTTTTTGAAGCATCAAAATAAATAAATAAGAATAAAACAAAAATCAAGAATCTGAACCTGAGAAGTTAATTTACATAAAAAAATCCCCAATCAAGCTACAATACTTAGCATGAATTCCAGAGAGACCGATTTGGTACAAATCCACCATTTCTCAATACCACACTCCTCTTTTTAGGCGATGTCTGTCTCTCTCTCTCTTCTTTAAGCAGCTTAAAACAGATGAGAGCTATTCACATTGTGACAGGGACCTTCATAAAGCCCTCCATCATGAGTGACAGTCAATCATCGACTTCCTTTCTTGGTGGTGGTCAGACCCGTCAGATTTTCCTTATCAGGGCAGTTGCTTTAGTGTCCAAATGTAGATCTTGCAGTCTGTAGGCAACAGCACACTCTGCAAACCCATTCATCCTAAAACTCCCTGCCACAGCCAACATACAGTGCAGAGAGATCCACAAACTCTGGATAGGAGATGGCATGTGTCTAGACTAGGGAAAGAGGGTGGAGACTGGTAGATGCATTCACATGGAGAGGAGGAGACAGAGCTCTGTGTGTGGCAAGCAGCATAGGAGTGTGTATGCTCAATTCAATTTTGAAATTACATTGCCCTGGGAGAGCTACTTGTTTGCCTTGTGTGATGAGTCACATATATGTGAATGGCACCATTATGTGCGCATGTGTGGCACTGTTTATTTTGATGACATGTTACGTGCCTGGTCATAAAACCAACCCCATTGTAAATTTGCTTTGTACTCCCATTTAGTGCCATGCAGTGCATCCACAACCATCTTCCTCTTTTGTCTAACCCCCAAAAATAACCAGGTTAAAGCTTTGCTAAAAACAATAATTCCCTCAACACTTGAATCTATTCCCACCTCCCAATGTTCATCTGCTTTCATTCTCATTAATCACTTAAAACCCCACCCTTCGTTTTCTTCCATCATTCTGTTCACCGCCTCCGCCTGCCATAACACACATCTCAGATTGAAACATTAGCCAGATGAGCGGCGTTTTACCCAAGGCCACTTCTGCACTACTGAGACTATGACTAACATACTGTAGCTGGAGCCTATTGTGGCCATATCAGATGTTGCTGGACTGCTGAATGCTGCTAGTGTGTTCTCAACAATTTCTGCACCAATACACCTTGTGGGGTTTGATTTTTTTTGTGTGTTTGCTTGTGTGTAATTTGTATGTGTGTGTCATGCTTAAAGTGAGGCTAATAAATAAGCTTTTTCATGCGCCCAATACAGTAAAGGCAACTGACAGCGCTGTATTACCATAGCAACACCATTCATGTGAGATACAAGTGCAATATATTCAGCGTTCCCAAATCTCATGGGCTCACTGCACCGCCTAATGGCGTACAACCTGCATGACAACTTATGTGCTAGTTGCTTGGCTATATTAGACATGAAAATTATTAATGCACAACAGATTATCTATTCAGGTTTACAGTCTTGATAATCTGTCTCCAGTCATTCTTCTTTGTATCTGTGGGCTTCAATCTCAAAAGCTGACATCAATTAATAAAAATGTAGTAGAGAAAAGGAGAAGAAACCCCTGATTGTCCACCCAAGAGAAACAAAACAAAAAGCAAGACCGAAATCACAAAAGGAATAATGTCTGCCAGTCACCAGTTTCTCTACTTACCGACTGACTTCGCGGCATGTTGGAGGATTTCTGTCACAAGGAATATCAGTGGTTCAGTTGAGTTATGAAGTATTATGCATCATACTAATGTACCAAGCTATCTTTTGAATGAGTTCTACCATGAGCTGGAGGAGAAATGCAACATTGAAGAAATGCAATTTATTTAGCTACTCTGAACACATGGCCTAGTTTAAATCTGTTTTTGACAGTGTGGGCCGCTTATCAATACAGGGCAGGCCATTCTTGCTTATTGGCCCATTACTAATATGGCCTCCCATTTTAGTAAAAACAGCTGTTTGCTTTTTCCATTTTGGCGACACCACAGTAGCAATTTTCACAGACAGCTGAAAAAATGCCATAGGGGATACTCTTTCTAGCTGTAAAATAGTTTCTCTGGGTTGGTGAAAGTTATTATGGCTGTTGAAAAATGGGATTGATTATTGGGATGCAAAAAGCAAATGTTCCTGAAATGCAGCACTAAAAATGAATTACATAAAAGTTAATGTGCCAAAAATGCTTTTAAAAACTCGGACGACAACATTGGATTGGATGCACCTGCGCGCGCAAATGTAACACCTTGAAATATGTAAGGAAAACTCTTAGGAAAGGAAACTTTTTTTTTTTTTTTTAAACAGATTAGAGGCATTTCCCTAGTCTTTGTAAAAAGGGTGCATCTGTCAGTCTCAGTTGAACTTCAAGTATCACCTTATACGAAATGATTCAATTCATTAACCAAACGTTAACGTTACTCCATACACGTTATAGTTATCTTTACGTTAGCTACGTGCAACCTTAGATTAATGATCAACCCGCGGCATATGCGCGCCAAAACAGTAAAGTTACGAGAGCCTGTAATTTAACGGGCAAACGACATCTAAGCAACGACAAACAAAACGTTGAAACAATAATGTTGGAGGACGGTCCAGTTAGCAGTGGACAAACGCAAAGCCATCACAAAAGAGTTGGCTAGCGGTAACTGCTAGCATTCAGCAGTTAGCGTGCGTTAAATGTTAGCAACAAACCTTAGCTCTCCCAGCTTCTAGTTTCCTTTGACGTTCATCTTCATCCATCTCTTGGTTTAAATAAAACCATTAAGTGTTTGGGACATACGTCCTAATTCAACTGAAAAGCACAACAGACTTCTAGCATGAGTTAGCTAAAACAAAATCTTTGAGCTTCCTTCAGCTACAACTGTCAACAGATAATATTCAATATGGCCGCCAAGTCAGTTCAACTCCGCCCTTATCGAGTTTCCTTGACTAAATGGACCAATCAAATCATTACGTTCCACTTCTTCAGCCAATTGCAACGCTTGAATGCATTCCCGCATGCCTAATAGAACCACCCCCCATTTTGTACATCACTCAAAACTAGAGTCTAGTTGACCAATGAAATGGCTGTGTCAAGTCTCCAATGCTCGATTGACTGCTCTTGTAGCCAATCAGGACAGGCTAATATGAAACCATGCCTCCACTCATCTGTTTTGAAAGTGAATGTACAGAATCGTCCACTGTCTGAGGAGTTTTTTGGCATTTGAACAACCTAATTTATGACGACGAATGTATAGTTACATTAAAGCATTACAAAATAAGATCAAAAGGTAAACACCATTCAGATGGCATTTATTGAAACCATGACAACAAGTGTAATATTTTGTATTATCTGTAGGTTATTACCTTTACTTAATATACATATTTTTCTAGTTATTTATACCTTTCTAAATAAATTAATCTAAATGTGGGCTATATATTATGAGCAGGGCTTATTTCCAAGATGAGTGAATGAATGACATTGGGTACTTTACCTTGGTCTGTAGTCATCTACAAATCAAAAGAAAGTGGGATCTGAAGTAGGAAGGTTATCTGATGTCCCTCTACTCTTTCTCTGCATAGAAACAAAGTAGTTATGCAAGTCATGTTTAGGTCTAGGTGTTAAACAGGTGTGTCCCATGGCAACCACTTTCTGGCTTTTGTCTTGACTCAAACACACAGGTATACACACAGTCTGTGTGACTCCAGATGCCAAGATTTCAGGTAAATAAGATATTAAAAGCATAAGTTTGCTTGTCTGTTTGTATGTTTGTGTCTAGTATTTCATCCAATTATGTGTATTAAGGCCCTTAGAAAATGTTAGAGTAACTCTCCTTTGTGTGATCTCTTAGCATGGCATTTCTGCAGTTGATTAGATGACAAGACTCAAACTCAAACTACTGGAGAAGGTAGGTGAGAGGCTAGTTTAAAATGTGTTCAGCTGGAAAAATACTGCTCAAGCTACAGTTTGTTTGGTTGTTTAGTATTCTCAAGTAAAATAGTTCAGCGTGCCTTTTATGCTTTTCTTGAAAATTTTACATCAAAATCTTTCAGAAATATTCTTTACTTACATTTCTAGAGACTGGAAAACGAAAAGCACAATATGGACACAAGAGCAGATTCTGCCCAGTCTGCAAGTAAGTTAAAGACTTCTTTCTATCCCAATTATAGATTATACTGACAATGACTTCCCAAGATGACAAATGAAGAATATACTAAAATAATATACTTTGAATACACTTAGTAGTAAAATTAACCTGGTAGTAAATGGATATGAAGCTGAGCACTAAGGAGAAGTCTTGGGAGCTGATGAAAAAGGTAGAAAGATTTTTATTTGCTTTTTACTTTAGGGTGGACAGAATAAGTAGAAGAGGCAGACACAGGGAAAGATAAAAAAATTATGGGAGTAGCTATTGAGAACATGATTTTGTCTGTTCAGGGAGTTATGATGGACAGCTGGATCAACTTCACCTTGCACTGAGGCGCAAGCGGGCCCTCCAGCAAATACTCCGGGTTTGTAGAGAATCTTTATCTTTGTATTCCAAGAATACACATTTTTATTTGTTAACCTATTAATATAGTTTCTTACATAACTAAATTCAGACAGTAAGATACAAAACTAGAGCAAGAGAAAGACAGAAGACATTCCTAGTACCTTTGAGCAGTTAACCAGTGTCTCAAGCATTTAGTCTTTCGCCTGTCATTGTGAGAAGTATATAATTGTTTGTGTTTTGTTTGCATTTATCTTCTGTGAAGGAGCAGCACATGTTAGAATACCTCAACAGACCCCACACCTGGGGAGGGTCACAAAGACAGTACAAGTCACATTTCTTCACTGCCCCTCAGCCGCCTCCACCACTCCCACTTCACCAGGCGGCCCCTGTTCTGCACTTCCTGACCCCTCCACCGCCTGCCCGACCCCAGCCTCCTCGCATCATCCAGCAGACTGTGAGACACTCAGCATTACTCTAAAAAACACCACCAATCCCCCTATATTCAATCTTCTTTTTCTGAGCCCCTTCTTCTCTTCTATTTTTGCCCTTCTATTTCCTTTCACATTAGGTATTATACTGACGCTGCTATTCAATCTGACTTGCAATGAGTTCAAGTATAGTGCAAATAAATTATGCAAAAGAAGCAGTCATTCCCCCATCTTTCTTTCTCTCTGCAGCTACCCGAGCAGCCTGCCACCATCATACAACAGCAGCCTCTGTTTACTCAAATCCCTCAGCCCTACCCTGCACCACGCTCAGGCAGCATCAAAGAGGGTATGCAACAGCAAATACAGATCTGTCTTATTTGAGTCTTCCTGTATTCATATGTTTGTGTGTGTATGTGTATTTTGCATGTTAGACATGGTGGAATTGATGCTGATGCAAAATGCCCAGATGCATCAGATCATAATGCACAATATGATGCTGAAAGCCATGCCTCCTATAGCCCTGTCACCACCTGGAGGTCCCAGTCACTGTGCCCCTTGTGCTAAATATCTTGGGCAGGTACACACAAACATGCACACTCTCTCGACACATAAAGACAAAGCAAAAAGTCTCAATTCTGACCCTTTGCAAAACTGTCCCAAATCTGTCGCTCCAGGACAGTTTCCAGGGAAACCCTATTTTTGTACGCCCAGATGTCAAACCAAGAGGAAGTGCTGTCCATCATCATCATCACTATGGTCCTACTTCTGTGGCACCACAGCTGCCCCCCATCAGCAACCCTACATGGCTACCAGGGGTGTCATCTGTCCCAGCAGGACAAGCAGCGAGACATCTACCATCCATACACCACGCAACAGCCCCTTTTACACTCCCACCACTCAATGGTAAGCCTCACTAACAGCACATGTACTTTATGTGCAAATATTCACACAGACAGCCTAATTGTTTTATTTTTATTTTACTAACAAATACATTTGTGTGTGTGTGTGTGTGTGTGTGTGTGTGTGTGCATGTGTGTGTGTGTCCTTACAGGACACAGATTTCACTCCGAGTCTCCCCTGTTGACTTAATATCATTGAAATTTTCCAAAATGTAGGCTATCATGTACGTTATGATTATGAATGGTAGACAAACAAAACAAACAAGGTAACCTTACCTTACACTAAATTATTGTATGCTTATAGTAGTCGTCAACTCTGACCACTTGGGTCAACTTCAACGGCGCTGAATGGGATGAATGATAAAAAGAATCGACACCCTTACAGGAACTTGATCCACAGACCCTCAGATGAAATATTACAGTTCCTTCATAAGAGCAGTTGGCGATTTACACAATCTATTGATGGGCCATAGGGGGAGAAAGAAAATTAACGCCCGAACAGGGACTTGAACCCTGGACCCTCAGATTAAAAGTCTGATGCTCTACCGACTGAGCTATCCGGGCCCTGTGAAAAGGAAGTATTTGGACTCATTAAAAACATGATACAGCACAAAACATTTTCTCCTGACTACTGTAACTGCTTTGCCATCAGTCTCCACAACGATAGCTCTGTACGCAGCTAATGCAGGCTAACTATCCGAAGTAGTAAGCTAGCCGTATGCTAATTTACGGCTAGTAGCTGTTAAGCTAACTAAATCGCTATGATGACTGAACGCACATGTATAATCTGACGGCACTTTAAAATAGGGGTATGTTCAGTATTCGGCCTGTTCAGTCAAGTCACTAACGTTGCCCGTGTCATTTTGTCGTGTAAGTCGCTTTTTCACGCTACACACAAAATCATTGCCTCGTCTTTATTGGATGAATTTACAGCTGTACAAAATGGTATTTTACAGGATCTATTAAACAAACAACAGAACTTCCTCAAACAGTCGCTTTTACCGCAGTGAATCACTGTGAGCATCCTGGACCACATTATTAGTCTGTTACAAGTGTCAGTGCTTCTTTATCCCGATCCCAAATGCACAACAGAAAACACAACCTGGATTCACAACCGTCAATCATCATGGCACACCCCTTTGATAAATAAAATATACACATATAAACAACTGACACCCTCTGCATTAACAAACTATTAAAGTGCATACTTCTTTTAAAGAATTGCATGGCCTAATGACAGGGGAACAAGGTACAGTCATGCTGTATTAAGCAGGATGTGGAGGATGGCCATTGAACAATATTCTTACTGTGAAGATGAGTTACAACTCTTCAGGAGAATGTGTGGATGATAGTCATGCACTTGTGCTTAAGGGCTTTTTGTATGGCACAAAAGTCAATATTACATGCTTAAAAAAGCCTTGTTTGTTTGCTGTGCCAAGTCTGTTAAAAAAAAAAAAAAAGAATGGTTAATAAAAACATGGGTTAAATCAGATTAAAATGTGCTTGCATACAGCATCTCGCGTTACACATTACAAAATGTTGGCCTTATAATTGTGTAAATTTGATTAATTTAATATTCTGAATGACTGCTTGAAACAACTTGATAACATTTATTTACACAGTGCATGTGTACGTGCACAATACCAGGCTAGGCTGTACAATTAATTTTTATACAAACGTTTTTCTGTGCAACGGAGGCAGACTCTGTGAAAAGTTTCAGAACATATTAGAAACTTCAAATGAACATTATAATGCAATAAGAAAAAAATCTATAAGGAGGGAAATATGTTATTAAAAATCTGAAAAAGTGAATTTGAATTTTTGAGGCCTTCAATGTTTTGCAAGGAGGCAGAATGCAAGCTGAAATACAGAGCACAGGGTAGGATACATACCCTCCTGCTATTGGTACAAGAATAGATACACAATGAAAGTCAGTGTGTTAACAGAATCTTTCTGAACACATTTCGTTGAATGCTGTTATTGTTGGAGAGACACCACACATTCTTCAAATTTCACTTCTGTTGCCATCGGATTTGTAAAAGAGGGAAACAATACAGATAGCAAAAATTGGATTATTGTGATCACATTTTGGGCAAATTGCTACAGCAGGCAAAGCGCCAAGGATAATGTGTTCCCAAGTTTTGTTAACATCGCAGCAAGGCATGCACCTTCATCATGTAATCTTTTGACACTATAAAAGAGCGTAGTATAATCTGATGGTATTAATGGCTAGTAGAAATAACTTGATCCTGTAGGTCCTCTTCTGATTCACAAATTCAGATGTATACCCTGACTGGTGTGTAGTAAGTAATATAAACTCAGCAAAAAAAGAAACGTCCCTTTTTCAGGACTGTGTATTTCAACAATAATGTTATAAAAATCCAAACAACTTTACAGATCTTCATTGTAAAGGGTTTAAACAATGTTTTCCATGCATGTTCAATTTACCATAATCAATTAATTAACATGCACCTGTGGAATGGTCATTAAGACCTTAACAGCTTACAGAGAGTAGGCACTTAAGGTCACAGTTCTAAAAACGCAGGACACTAAAGAGACTTGTCTACCGACTGTGAAAAACACCCAAAGAAAGATGCCCAGGGTCCCTGCTCATCTGCGTGAACGTGCATTAGGCATGCTGCAGGGAAGCATGAGGACTGCTGATGTGGCCAGGGCAATAAATTGCCATGTCCGCACTGTGAGACGCCTACGACAGCGCTACAGGGAGACAGGAAGGACAGCTGATCATCCTCGCAGTGGAAGACCACGTGTAACAACACCTGCACAGGATCGGTATATCCGAATATCACACCTGCGTGACAGGTACAGGATGGCCACAACAACTGCCCGAGTCACACCCGGAACACACAATCCCTCCATCAGTGCTCAGACTGTCCGCAATAGGCTGAGAGAGGCTGGACTGAGGGCTTGTAGGCCTGTTGTAAGGCAGGTCCTTACCAGACATCACCAGCACCAACGCCGCCTATGGGCACAAACCCACCTTCGCTGGACCAGACAGGAATGGCAAAAAGTGCTCTTCACTGATGAGTCACGGTTTTGTCTCACCAGGGGTGATGGACGGATTCGTGTTTATCGTTGAAGGAATGAGCGTTACACCGAGGCCTGTACTCTGGAGCGGGATCGATTTGGAGGTGGGGGGTCCGTCATGGTCTGGGGCGGTATATCACATCACCATCGGACTGAGCTTGTTGTCATTGCAGGCAATCTCAATGCCTTGCGGTACAGGGAAGACATCCTCCTCCCTCATGTGGTACCCTTTATGCATGCTCATCCGGAGATGATCCTCCAGCAGGACAATGCCACCAGCCATACTGCTCGTTCTGTGCGTGAGTTTCTGCATGACAGCAATGTCAGTGTTCTGCCATGGCCAGCGAAGAGCCCGGATCTCAATCCCATTGAGCACGTCTGGGACCTGTTGGATCGCAGGGTGAGGGCTAGGGCCATTCCCCCCAGAAATGTCCAGGAACTTGCAAGTGCCTTGGTGGAAGAGTGGGGTAACATCTCACAGCAAGAACTGACAAATCTGGTCCAGTCCATGAGGAGGAGATGCACTGCAGTACTTCAAGCAGCTGGTGGCCACACCAGATACTGACTGGCACTTTTGATTTTGAGCCTCCCTTCATTCAGGGACAGATTATTCTCTTTCTGTTAGTCACATGTCTGTGAAACATTTTTCGTTTATGTCTTATGGTGTTGACTCTTTTAGTGTTTATACAAATATTTACACACATTAAGTTTACTGAAAGAAAAAACAGTTGAAAGTCAGAGGACGTTTCTTTTTTTGCTGAGTTTACTATCTTTGAAAGGTTGGTGGTGGCATCAATGTTAACTTGTCCAGATGATTTTACAAGTAAAGTGTTCATGGGACACCACTCCTGTCCATTTTCACCCGTGTCAGGTCAGATGGTCAATCCTGGACAAAAGTTTGGTCAAGGAAAAGGGTGTGGGTTTTTTTATATATGGAGAGTGGGACGCTGATGCTTCTTCACATGGCATGGTTATGTAACCTAAAGTGTGAGAAAGAGAACAAAAATGTCTGTTTACTTGCACCACACACAGGCAATTTGCCATTGCCATTGCAATCATTCACAAACAACATTCACCCTGTGTATGTGAGGAGGCATTTCATCTTCTGAACTCTCCTCTGGTAGTGGTTCATGGTGTCGTGGTGCTGCCTGACCCTCCTCTGCCCACCCTCCCATGGGCAGACGGGCTGACCTCACTACTTTCCCACCTGCACCAAAAGAGTCTGGAAAACAGAAAGACATAGACAGTGTTGTTTAAAAGTGTCAGCAATTAACACTGATCTGTATAGCATGTACAGCTACTGTACTGTAAACTGTCCTCAGTTGAGTTAAACAAATAATGAAATACTCTGAAAGCCATATAGTTCTTATACTAAGCCAGTGTGACATAAACTAAGGGAGACTTGTGTAATTACTCAGTGAGAAACTTAACTACTCATTGTTACACAAGGGCTGAGAACATTTTACTGTTTTGTACATATTGCAACATGGCAAGAGAATATTTCCTGTCTTACACTGATATCATATCTTTCTAAAACTAATTGACTAACAAATCCAAATTTTTTGTTATAAAAATAATGGTGCAGCAAGGAGAGCAAGGACATTTACAGTTTTAATTATCTTAAAAAGAGTAAGACTATGAAAAAGAATAGCAGGTGAAAATCAATTTCATACTGTTCCAAAGTCCGACTGATCATTTAATAAGACTCCATTCAAATGCATGTAGTGTGAAACATGGGGAGATTATCAAAACATAGTACCTGTGGTAGGTCCACTATAGCGGTGCTGGGTGCTGCTCTGCGAGGGAGCCCCCTGTTGGCCCAGGGTGGTACTACAGGTGGCTGAAGCTGAAGTGGGAATAGCACTGGGACTGGGGACTGTTGTGGGGAAAGTGTGTGAGCGTGGGAAATGTCTGGAGTGAGGGTTGGGTTCACTTCTCACTTCATCAGGGACGCTGTCACTGCTTTCGTCACTCTCCTGCCTGTGCCATGTGTGACGGGATAGCTCGCCGCGGGACTGTTGCTTGTGTAGCTACAAGGACAAAAATAAGATGGAAAAAATGGATGGCACCCGCGATGAAGAAAATCTGGGGGATATTCACATAGACTGTACATAAGAAATTGACGTAGTCATCGTGACGTTACCCGTTGGTTTGTGGACTGCCGTTTTGAAGCCTCGAGTTTGGCAGATATGCGCCGCCATGTCGAGTTTTTGCAACCAGGAAGTGCCCGGAAGTGACTATACAGCGGAGCTAACGGCCGTGTGCGGCGCTAGCTAGCTTGCTTAGATAGGTGCAACTGTAACTCATGTTAACTGTCATTTTAACTGGGCTGATAACTTTGTCTAGCGGACAACAGTCTTAAAACTAAATGTACTCACCAGAAAAAGTGAACAGCCAACTCCTAATAAGCTTTCTCAATGGCGCTGGTTAAATTTACAGTGCCGTGGGTACGAGTCTGCTCTAGCCTGATTGACAGGTCGTTATGGTAACGACTAGTCAATCATAGATAATCCCGCCCTGAAAAATACTCTGCTTTTTGGTCTATTGTAAAATAAATGGGACCATAATTTACTAAATGAACATCATTTTGTATTGAAGAAGACTTGAAACTAGCGACTGAGACCATAAACTCATCAGGAAAGTGTTTACTGGGGTAATTATTCAGCTGAGAAGTAGGGTCATTTTCTCATTATTTCTAATGGAGCCGGACTTCTTTTTGCAACCAGAAGAGTCGCCCCCTGCTGGATTTTCAATAGAATGCAGGTTTCAGGGACTTCCGCATTCGCTTCATATTGTAGCCCGGAAGCTTCCCGCTTGGATATTCAGGATGAGGAGACAAACGTGGGAACACACTGTGCTTCATTCACTTTTTAACTCCTACAGATGTCCTCTACTCTCTTCCCACACACGATCACACACAATTACCTCATGCATGTAAAGTGCATGGATGCTCATCTCAGTGGAGGCATACTCTGACAGGACCAAACTGGTCAGTTGACCCTCCCATGCACTGCTGCCTGAGCTCACAGTTCGGGCATCAGTCCTACAAAAAAAGAAAGCAAAAACATGGAGAAAATGAGGACATGAAGAGGAGGTGACACAGATAAGAAGATGAGAGGCTAGATTTTGCACATTGAACTGTGAGTTTTCAGCCAGCAGCTCAGTAAAAAGTTAGTGTTAGACAGAACTGAGTCGAGACACATTTCGGAAGAAGAATTCTCCTACCCAGACCCTGCCATTGCTTTGCTCATGGCTGAAGTGTGGCCAGCTGCTCTGTGAGCTGCACTCAAACTGCCTCTCAAGTGAAGACTGCTGCTGACTGGGGAAAGGGAGCGTAAGGCAGATGCCCCATCACTTATGCCAGCTGCTGCATGATTGGTCAAAGAGCCATCCCTGCCGAAATGAACGGAGGCCAGCGTAGAGGGACCTCCCAAGAAGTTTGCAACGAGGCTCCTTGGCTACAAGAGAGAAAGGGCAGAGAGACAAGACAGTACATTTGTTTCTACCTCTGAAGATGTAATGAAATTTGATGTATTACCACTTTGATACCTGAGCACGTATGTTAGTTCATCAGTGTACCTCAGACTCAGACAGTGAGAGGGGATGTGTATCTGAAGGAGCCCCTGCGGCCTCTCTGTGAACTCGTTCTTTCAGCTGGCTGATGAAGTGTGTGGTCTCCTGAGGCGGCTGCCACTGGGGGTTAGTGATGGCAAAGTGCATCAGAGATAACTCTGTCTTCCCATCCTCTGCCTGTTGGTAGATAGACGCCTCTGTCTTCCCCTCTGACATCCACTACAGAGGGAGGAGAGAGGTTCAGGCCACAGATATACACACAGACTCTCATTCATTCATATTTCACTTTTGAATGAATAAATCTTACGCATGTCACACAGTATATAGACAAGTGTCGTCATTTATGTATGTCTGTGTGGCTGCACTTGTGTGTGTCAGTCACTCACCGCAGGGTGTCCATGCTGCCTGATGTCCATCTGGGCAAAGGAGCAAGTGTCTCCTACACCGACCACCTCCACAGTGAAGTTCCTGAAGAAATCAATGATCTCCAGAGACTTCCTCCTCAGACAGAAGATCAGGATAATGGGAGTCACCACTGGACTTATCAACTCCTCTAGAATAAAGACCTGGAAGAAAAACATAGGGGAAAAGTTAACACTGTATACTCGTGTGGCAAGGTAGGGTTCAGCAAGCACATCAAAGGTATACTGATACTCTGATTCATAAGTTGAAATGTGTTATTTAAAATAGCACGTTCATTTTAATTGTAATCTTGAGGAACACTTTATGATTTAAGATCCAAATGCTACCAGCTGCGACAATCTGGGAGTGGAGAGCAAATCCCTTCCCTTAACAAATACCAATAAGGTGCTTCTCAGCATGGCACTGAGACCCCTACTGCTTCAGTGGATCTGCTTAGATAGCTAACAGCAGAAAACTATAGTTATAGTAGTCTGTCTGAGATATAAATACAAGTAACGGAATGAGGGTAATGCTAATTCTCTAGAAAAATAACAGTTTAATAGAAGCAGATGTTCAGAGAGGGTTTGACAAAACAACTACAGGTCTTTTACACAGTAGACATTTTGAGTAGTCACAATAGAACCAGCACAGGTGTAAGTTTTAACATAAATGCCTTTATAACTGTGCTGGAAAGCCATGTCCATGAGTCAGCTTGCACACTTGCAGGGCCCTAAAATTGGCATATATATATTGAATACAGCCATCATTAATGTTAATTAATTAAACCCATTAATTAATTAAATTCATGCTGTGCCATGTTAAAATGTCTACTATGGAAAATGCCCATATAACACTGTTTTGACAAGTCCTCAGTCTTGATATTTATCCCTGTCAGTATCCATACTCACGGCTTTGTATTGGAAGAGCTGGGAGAACTGGTCACGGGTCTCATATCTATGTGCATTACCCTGCCAGTGGTCAGGCATGTAGTGGATGTGAGCCAGGATAACCCGCAATAGCTGCTCAGGACAAAACACCATGTGCTTATCAGGTATAAATGATCTGAAAAGAGAGACAGGAAAAGAAGTTAGGCTTACAACATAAGAGGATGAAAATCAAAGGCAAAGATTTAACTACTTTGTGGAAATTTGCTTGTTAACTATATGTCTGGAGTTTACAAGACTGAAGCATTCTTATTCAGCTGTAAGGCTTTCTCAAAACAAATCACAAATTTAATGCAAAATTTACCGGTGAAATTTCTGATGGATTGTTGTGTGTCTTGGATGGTTCTACGAGATAGAAGTTCAGTTCATGGGACTGTTCCTAAATATTGAATTATTTCAATTCAGAGCTATTAACAGACTTCAAATAGTCTGAGCTACTTAAGGAAGGAAACCCTCTTAAACTCATCAGTTATACAGCAGAATAAGCTGCCGTAGAGCATTAAAGGGATTACAACTCTGGGTAGCTTTAGACAGGCAATAAAGAAATGGGTCCCCTACGTTCCACATAGTTGAAGATTTGTGTCATATATTCACATTTTATTTTTGTATCTGATGTTTGCCATTTCATATCAGTTTTATAGAGACAAAGCTATTAATTTATGGCTGATTAATAATGAGCTAGTGATTTATTTGAGCTATTTAGCTGTTAATACATTTGTGATGATTAAGTGCTGCAGGCTGTGTAAATAAAAACCATGTAAATGAGAATAGCAGAGAGATTAACTGGGTAACACTAATCCCCACCTGCAGACTGTGATACACACTCCAAGCAGAGTGATTGATGAGAGAACATGTTCCACTGCGAGAACATCCTCGTCATAGATAGTCAGGGCGATGAGCACGGCCAGGAGAGACCCGGCAAAAAACGCTACATTTTTGGCAACCACCGTCAGCAGTGGTGACAGGAAACAGTTCATATACTTGGATGCAGCCTGAATGAAAGAGGAACAGGGGTAGAGGAATGGAAAAAAGCAGGAAGCAGACTTATTATTAACTCTACAGGCTAAGCATTAAGAGCATGATGTTTATACAAAACCATGTGAATCTTAAGTGATGTTCTGCACTGCCATATACAAACAACTTCTTTCAATTCATTGAAAGAAAAATATGTCAGTGTTATGAAATTTAGCAGGGTTATAAAACTAGGGTTCAGAGGAGAAGCAACTTTATTTATATTGAGGAACATTATATCATAATAATAATTGTTATCGCTTTATCACCCAGCCCTACTTATGAGCAGTGTTGGCAGGAGATACGCTGACCTTGTAGCCTTTGCTGAGGCGTGACATGAGCTCATGATCCAACTCATTGAAGTGACGCAGGTAACATCGACCATACAGAGACCAGCATCTTGCTCCCAGAGAGCCCGGCTCTCGCTTGATCACCTGCACACACACACACACACACACACACACACACACACACCCCCCAAATGATCTATGTTTAGAGCACTAAATGAAAAAAGAAAACTGTATAAAGTTTGTATGTACATACAAACTACTTACCTCTGTGTAACTAAAGAAGGCGTAGAGAATCTGCCACACAAGAATAACTGGACACAGCAGCAAATTGGCAATCCCAATCCATAGAATACGGGATGCTAGCCTGTCTGCCAGCTCAGCCCTGTTCCCTCCTCTCTTGTATTCTGGTTTCAGGCTCCACTCATTTTCAAACAGAGACCCTACAGAGCAACCAAGACAAAACCAAGGGACATACAAAAGAAGACTCCTTTGTCATTCTAAACCTTGACAAATAGGCAAATGTATGAATGCATGCATGCATATAGTTAATTTCACCTGAATATTACACCATGGAAATGCAGACACATAGAGTACTGTACATACTGTACATGAATTACATCAAACATGAACACACCTGGTCCCCAAAAGAAGATGAGCTCAAAGTTGTATTTCAGACCCCGGGTGTAGAACACGCTTTCCCCAAGCGTAGGAAGTCGAAATCGCACAGGAAGGAGAGATTTATTCACCATGGCAACCTAGCGAGGTACAGGAAGAAAGCTCTGGTTAGAGGTCACACCGTTTCATTATGTTTGCAAATAGCTGTGTCAGACTCTTCAGCAACCAAGCTGCAAAATTTCACTGCAAATGTACACACCATGTAGTTTTTAAAGCGGAGGATGCGGTGGTAAATGTCAAGCTCGGTCAGCTCTTTTTTATGGATGCAGATCTGGTGTTCTTTCTGGATCTCCACTATCCTGGCCTGAACCTCCTGCCATGTTGCATAGGGGAGTTCGGACTGAAAAGAAAAAGCATAGTGGAAATTAGTAGGCCCTGCGACCCTGTATGCAGGATAAGCAGTTGACGATGGATGGATGGATGGATGGAAATTAGTAGGTACAATGATTGCATGTGATTATAATTTATGCGCAAGCAAAACAAATCTTCAGTAACACTCTAAAAATAATTTCCTCTATAGACATAATTTTGTGTGACTGACTCACCATGGTCATCTTGAGTGCGTTGATGTAGAAGGATCGGATCTCCCAGTAGCAGCAGACATTATAGATGAATTTTACCAGGCGATGTAGCCAAAACACCCCAGAGATGATCAGCACAAAGATCACAAACGCATTGTCTCGGATACTGTGGGAGAAAATATTTTCTTCTATAATTAAAAGTACGTTGTATGTTTTCAACGGCATTAAGGTCTTCACATATGTCCAATTGGTTTGGCAGATTAAATATTTCTGTATAAAAAAAATAAACACACCGGCGCTAACCTGGGTAAATAATTTAATTCATGCCACTTTTCAGCTTTATCAATGACAACAAGAAAGTTATTTCACTCTTTTGAGTTCTGTCATTCAAAAGGTATCACTGGCAGATTAACAGGTAAGGAATAAATAGTAAAATAACCATTCCAAGTCCCATGTGATAATGTACATATAAATGTAGAAAGTCTGCTAAAATGTTTCAAGTAACCCAAGGAAACTTTACACATTCAGATAAGAAAAATGTTATATTGAAAAAAACTAGTGAGTAACAATAATGCGCATAACAAAGTGTTTCTGTATCTCACAAACACCCTTCTATACAATAATAACATCTATCCTCAGCTACACACTTCATTAACTAAATGAACTAAATACAGTGTCACACTCACCGGGCACTGCAGACATCCACTGGGAGGAAGGCATCAGGCAAGGTGACTTTAGAGGAATCGGTGTGATTTACAAACTTGTTGGCAAACAGTATGTCATAGTCCACACAGTTAGCTAGGAACACTGTGAAGCCAACCACAAACAGCAACTGACTGCATAGAGAAAGAAAGGAGGAGGAGGCAAGAAAGGAAAAGACAGTAAGAAAACACACTTACAGGGTACATCAAGCTCCATGCCATAAAGATTTCCTTAAAAACATCAGTTCAGGTGGATGGGATACATACACTAGCTCAAAGATCTCTCCCAGAAGCATACAGGTGAATCCATTCTTCTGGTGCAGATTATAGACGTAATGGATGTTAAGGAACAGTGCAAATGTGTCTGCGTTTATCAGTCGTAATTGTGTTAAAACTTTCATGGTATCATGGTACAGAATATTTTTATAAAAATACTATGTCAAAAACCCGGTCAGCAGCATCGTGTTTCTGCTTTGCAAGACCCAATCAGAGAGCCGAGCGTGAGTGGCTACGTCATCGTTTCTAAAGTCCTTCGTTTTGGCCGGTCTTCACTAAAACGCCCTCCGGAGTTTTGAAACGCAAAATGGGGTTGGCAGCGTTTCCAAACTTCTCCGTTTTAGGTCTTTGTTTTCGCCGTTGTAGTCTGGACGGGAGGTGCAAACGTAGCAAAAGGTCTCCGTTTTAATTAAAAAACACAGTAATGTGAATGGGGCCTCAGTTGTCAGGAACAATCAGAACACAACACGTTGGGAAAACATGTCACAACCAAGTAAAAGGATATTCTCTGGAAAAACAGGTCCAGGTTCTCTATGTGGTGCCATTGTGCTGCAAAACATTTATTAAACATTAGTAATGGTGTTGTTGCATGGTGGCATCGCTATCAGAGCAAAAGACGAGGATGTGTTTCTGTGTGTGATAAGTTCTTGATTTGTGTATACATGTCGTTTACATTTGGCTCCTTCAGGCACATGCATCAGCAGGTTCTCCTCTCCAGGGGGAGAGTCACTGTAGGACGCCTCCAGGCGCTGGTACTCTGTGTCAAAGTGTGCCATAGTGACAGCAGCTTCAGTCTCACCAAGTAGCCGAGCCCACTGCTACAGACTGGAGCACCGAGAACAACAGGGAGAGATGAGGGGAAGGCAAGAGGGTTAAAGATATACAAACAAGTCATAAAAATGAGGAGGAGGAGAAGGGAAAAACAGAATGATATAAGTTTTAAGGTTTTTAAATCATATGTTGGTTAATAATCAACTCATTTTGACACTTCTACACCCTGCATTATGGAAAACACCTACAACCTTCATTGAGGTCTTACCATCAACACGAACCTTGGTTTTGGAGGGCTAAACACCAATATAAATAAAAGTGTAACTCATTACTGATATATTCATTATTCAATATTTATAACTGTAGTAAAATTCTATTTTGCCTGATCCTTCTAAAGGGGGAGGTCAGAGGTCAGGAATCTTGCTGACAAAGGGGTTCAAAACTATATTCTCTGGTTAAAGGGCAGTCTCTCTTTCAACAATGCAACCCTGGACTACTGAACTACCTACACACATTTTGAGAGAGAGTAACGTTAGACATGTGAGAATGTGCCCCAAAAGCATGGTAAATTTGAGTTTGTGACTGACTCTGTTCACAGAATGTCACACTTTCGCTTATACAACGGAAACAAGTAATTGGTGTGTAAATCAAACTTGTGGTATAGCCCCTTTATGCTGCATCTGCCCTTGTCAGTTAGACTGAAACTAACTACTTAGAAACTAAAACCAACCATATAAGTAACTGACAATAGTTTCTGTCTCAAGATCTAGTTACGACAAAAAATCTACAAGACCCTAGGTAGATAATAATAATAACAGCAGGAATAAGGTATACAAAACAATGACAATGACAAAAAACTACAATGAAAATTACTTAAGAATAGTCAAAATATTTCTCAAGAAGGCATTTTTATCTTATCTTACTCAACTGTAATAACAAATTATGTGGAGTAATGACTGTCCCTACACCTCAGTCGTTGCATCTCAAAACCAGGGACCCTCCTATGACATGTAATGTAACTTATGCTATAGGTGGAAAGAGGTACTTCAGATCCTTGAAAACTGAATTTTAAAATTAAACGAATTATCAATTGACTACGAACACGTCTTAACCACACATACTGTCTCAAAACAAACCCATCGTGTGACTTATGTCAGCTACAGAAAGTTGCTTACCTCCATTGCAGTATAGTACGTCCTATCCAGCTCTGGTGTTTGCTCAACATTCCCAGCTGAAAAAAGGAAGAGACATTTCCTTTAAAGCTGCCCTGTGCAGTCTAAACTAGGACCACAACAGACTGTCAGACAGGGCTTCCTTCTATTTTTCTATTCGGAGACCACATACAGTAACAACACAGTTCTAAATCCACAGAAAATGAGGGCTGACTGTAGCTGAGTAGCTAGCTAGCTAGTTACTTGAAACTGGTAGTTAATTAGCAGCAACACATAAACGTACGAAGCTAACACAGGAGCACCGATTCAGGTGTTGTTGTTGTCGTGGTTTGACAGCATAGGCCTGCCTCCCTCACAAAAATGTCACCTCTAAAATCCCGCCACAAGGACTCCTTACAGTTGTGTTCTTCTGCCACCTCTTCGCCAGATTAAAACAGTGAATCCACGTTTTTTTTATTTTATTTAATGACCGTCTCGTTTTCGTTTTCTTGTGGATCCATCGACGCCAGTTTCATTTTCGAAACAGCAAGCAGTGTGGCGTCTGTCACAGCTGAGTGACGGGAAGGTTATCAAATCAGGGAAAGAATTCCCTAACGGTGACAACAGCAGCCAATCAGATGCAGCCAGAGGCGGGTTCGAAGAACGCGTTGCGTGGTTAGCGACACGCCCTCATGGATGTATACGGACGTACATCAATGCACGCCCTCAGAGACGCCTCCATGATGGGCTCCTCACCATTTGCTCTGGTTTGTCTAATTAAATGGCTGTTTACTACCACCGCCTGGTCGTTTTCAGTAGCACTACAACACGGTCAGAGGTACTGTCATACTGCAAGTGTACTCATGATGCTGCTGCTACATGGAGATCAGAACTAACAATGATAACTCCTTTTACTAAACAGATTTATATATTATTTATATATTTCTGATATCAATTATTTGTTGTTTTATGTCTTAAAATATATTGGAAACTGCTTTTGATCAGTTGTACTACATGATCATACGATCCTAATATACACTGCGCCCACATGTATTATGTTGCTCAAAGCTTGTGCAGGGATGTGGTAACAACATCAATGAATATGTGCAGACACACATGTACAGTGAAATAAATCAAAATAATGCTCTATTTTATTTTTAAAAATATTTCCTCAAGAAGTTTCCTGGAGAGAACAATGTAATTTGGTACTAATTGTAAGGAAAAGAGAGACAGTGTTAGGCTAAATTGCTAAACTTTCTGCTACACTAATTTCTAGTTTAAGAGAATGTTTTAGTTGGTGCACATAGATCAGCTGAACATTCAAATGTGCCTACAGGCAAACATGCAATTCAACCTACAGGTTTCCAATAATAATGCTTATAAAGCTCTATAATTAGTGCTATATTGGATGGTTCTTTTAAGGAAACTTTCCAGGAAAATTACAGACCTGTTAAATAAAGTGTTACCAAAATAGGTTTATTTAACATTTAGTGTTTGTTTTTACAGTTAAATGGTGAGATTCTTACTTTAAACCTGAATCTGATTTGATATTTGTTTGGATGCAAACTGAGATTTTGATGTTAATTTAAACATATGTTTTATAAGGCTAATAATACAAAATAATACAATATCAATAATCAGATCCTTAAGCATTTTCCCTCCTGTACTTGAGTCATGTTTTGATGAGTCTGGTTCTGGACTCCACAATACCAAGATGGTGCTTTGCAAAGCCAAGCTCACCTTCTGTCGCACTGTGCTGCAATGAATATTCATATATGACTGTTAAGCCTCTGGAGTGACAGCTGGGCTTTTGTTCACTGTGTAACTGCATTAGTTACACTGTTAACACCAATCACTGTGTGTGTGTGTGTGTGTGTGTGTGTGTGTGTGTGTGTGTACCTTTATGTGTTGAACTTACCATTGACAATCTTATTAACCAATCTCCCCAGACAGAAGTGAATTAATAAGTAGGTTTCTGTTTTCATGCTCAGAAACTTGGAAAGTTGGAAACACACACAAAGAAACACACACACACACACACAAAGTCATTACTGTTAGCAATCTGACAGGTCTACAGTTTACTGTGCTTCGGTTACTTTTCAACCTCACTTTCTTACACCTCCACAATAAATTTACTGTCCTCTCCCCCCATTATGCAACCATTTCTGACAACGTGTCCGTTTGTTTGTTTGTTTGTGTGTGTGTGGACAGAGATTTTTCAAAAAGGGCAAGGGTGTCTTGAGTCAGAGGGAAGTCTGTGTAATCCTGTTATTATAGTGATTTGGGTAATTTAATCTCTTCTGTTTAGGATTAGGCTTCATTCAGATTAATCCAGTAGAAAAAACACTGTCACCACCAAACAGTAACTAAGATATAAAAGTAAAAAATTACACATAATTCTAATTTGCTCACTATAAACCAATGTTTTTGAGAAACATTGATGAATCCCCACCCAGAACGTGTTTGAACTGCTTCATTTGATTTTATTTTTATTGATTTATTAAGATTTGCAAAGGAATTTAAGGGCAACAGGCTAGATATTATGTTAGAAAAAAAACACCTTGCATTGACATAGAGTAAGATAAATGACAAAGAAGATAGTTAAAGTTTTTCAAAACTAAACTGAAGCTAAAGCTAGAGTTATTAGAACCCATCTCCTTTTTTTCTGTACTGAATTATTTTTTTTAGGTTGAATGATTATTGTTTTGCTAAATTCTTTACCACACTCATTGTAAATAACTTCTCCTTGTGTTATTGTGCATTATGAAAATTCTGGACTATTATATGTGTATTGTATGTGAGTTAGCATGTCTGTTCCGCTGCAGGCTATAGCTGACTGATTAAATTAACCTACTGTCTGTTGGGAATTAGGGGGTTGCATTGACAGCTAATTTGGTCCAAAGACTTGCTGTCATGCTGCCATGCAACTCGTGGGTGGGGTTGGGATAGCAGGGGCTGCAGGGTGGGGGGTGGCAGGTGGGGGTGCTGTGAAGGGGGTAGGGAAAAGGGAATCAGGATGAAGTCATCTCTCTAGAGCAACTTAATTAGATCAAGATATGAGAGGCCGATTAGGGTGAAAACATTAAAAAACAGACACACGCACACTGAAAACTGTCACACACGCACTGACAATGTGCACATATACACTGAAATACAGGGGTATCTGAGTGTGTGTGTAAAATTATTTTAGTGCGCCCGGAAGCTGTTGTAGTGTAACAGGACGCCTTAGATTCCTGTCCTAACTTTCAAAATAAAAGCATAGCTAACATGATGATACATGGATTTCAGTGCAAGTGGTATTCCTTGTTCAGAGAGATTGTTTATCTAAGCAATTATATGAACAGTTAATCATTTATTATATTTATATTTAGTTCAGCATCCATAAACCTACAGGGAGGGATATTTATTGTATGTCACATTTAATTTTTGCTCCTCACCTTCAGATATTTTATAAACTTCATCTCTGTCTTCTTATTCACATGAAACCTACAACACTTCACTTTATGATCTACAATATGCAATGATTTGCTGAGCTTATTATACACATTCTACATGTATTTTGACCATGGATATATAGCTAGCTGCATCAGTGACTTCCTGTTAAAATGAAACAGGCACTGAAATGACTTCACAGGCACACACTTAGATACACACACAGACAAGTAGCCTGTATCCTACTCTGTGTGAAGTTTGTGTGGTGTGAATATTTTCAGTGTGTATGTGTACTTTGTCAATGTGGATGTACACATATTTCACTGTGTGTGCATGCACAGTCGGTGGTGTGTGCCCTTTTTAATGTGTGTGCGCACATTTTCAATGTGTCTGTGCCTGGTTTCAGTGCGTGTGCTTGGTGTGTTGTTGGTGCATGTATGATCATTTTCAGTGTGTATGTGCACATTGTCAATGTGAATGTGCCAGTGTTTCCGTGTTTTCAGTGTGTGTGCGCACATTGTCAGTGCGTGTGTGACAGTTTTCAGTGCGTGTGTGTCTGTTTTTCACCCTAATCGGCCTCTCATATAAGCTCCTTCCTGTACATGCACCCATGCAAACCCAACACAGCAGGAATGAAATCTACACACACACACACACACACACACACACACACACACACACACACACACACACACACACACAGTCACATGCACATACAATTTATACAGGGTGCACCTTTAAAATTTTAATTGTTGCTTGTCTTCCTCTCCCTGCTAGTACCCCTGGGGCCGATTTCCTTCAGGGCTCGGCAAATATACCAAGGTTGCTAAAAAAACAACAAATTTCTAAAACTCCAAGGACATTACTTCAGTTTCCTCAATGGTTTCTTAGTAAGATTCCTCTCCAGCTGATCTCTAAAATGTACCAGCTTTCTGTTACCATCCAGTCTGGTGTGGTCAGCTATGTTTAACAAGCAATTTTCCTAACCTGAACCAATAACAAGAAGATCCTTTGTGGTCCCTTATTTCCCCCTGACACGTGTTTCAGACACTTTACAGAAAATAAAACACAGACATGCACACACAGTGGTTGAGTGATTTCCTGTCCATGTTTGAATTATGTGGAGATGTTTGACTGATGCGTTAGTGTGATTGTTTTTGTGTGTGGTGTGTGTGTGTGTGTTACGTGTGTGAAGGAGATTGAAAGCAATGTGAACAAAGGGATTATTGATCTTTGCCATGTAGAGGGTGAGCAAGGGATCTAAATCACTGGTATAGGATGCCAAGAAAGATAAAAAGAAATTGTTCTCACACCAAAAGTAAAAAATCCAAAAACCTGTGTGGAGAAGAGGAGTCAAACTTTCATTCATAAGTCACTGATATGGCACTGTTGGCTTATATTCTTTCAAAATAATTTGCATCTGTCTCTGGATGAGAGAATAATACACTCCACAGTCTGCTGAATATTTATAACTTGAACACCTCCATTTGATTCCATATAAAATGAGGCCTGGTCAGTAAGTTTCTTCATAAGTGACTGTCTTTGGTCGTCCTTTATCTCAGAAATGTGATTTCATTTTGAATTCTGAGCCACAAACTGTGTGTGTGTGGCATGAGTCATACAGATTGGGTGACATCATATATGTCACTCTCTGAGAGCATGTGTTGGTGTGTGTGGGGTGGTGTGGATCAGACATGAATATATGAATCATTGTATCGCTCAGTATACTGTCCCCAGGGAGTGAACTCTGACACCAGACTGCATGGATTGTCCCCTCAGAACCACCACAGTGGCTCAGCGTCTTTGTATTCATTTTTCCACTTGGCCTTTTTTTCCAACCTTTTCCACCATTTTGACCTTTAACTGTTAAAAAAATCCAAACATTTATTTATTATCGATTTATATAATTGACTATCTTAAACAGCAGTTGTTTCTCCATTAGCGCTATGTCTCTTTGTCGTCATTCTCTCCATGTATTATAAATGAATTAATATTGTGCGTCCAGACATGCAAATGTCCTTGAGACTTTCTCATTAGGAAGGCTAATGGTCAGCAGTGCTGTTGATAATCAATACGGAAGTAAAGAGATTTTGAAAGATGGTGGCGTGTAAGCACAGAGTAAGTAGACAAAATAACAGAAAC